TTTCATATCATATAAAAATTAACAATATATTTTGGAGGACTAGTAGTCTCTATCAACATTCAATAAATTATGAATTATGCATGGAAACAGATTTATAAATCCAAAGTAATTCACTGTTCCTATGTATTCTACATAGAGCCTGCAACTCTCTTTTCCAATCAAGAGATTACACTAAAGTATGATAAGGCACTAAGGCTATGCCAACAATTTTGTTTTTTTTCTTGGTGAAACCAGGGATTGAACTCAGGCCCTTGTGCTTGCCAGGGAAGCACTTATTCCACTCCTTGGCCCATTGCCAACAAAATTATTAGCAAAACAAAACCAACAGGAGAAGCAGTTGGTGATGCTTCTTGCTATATTCAGAGAACAAACGGCCCTGGAGAATGAAGAAAGAAAAGGGGTAAATCAATTCTTTCATTATATTTGGTATGAGAGATAATATAATGAATATTCCTTATCTGTGCAATATATTTTATAGGACTGCCTAAGCTGTGTATCTTGTTTGAAACAAATCTAGAATTTATAAATTTATGAGTCATAAATTGGTAGCAAATGTAAAATCTTTATATACTTAATGGAATATGAAACAAAGATGCTTCATTACTAAGCAGCTCCTTCAGTAAGCGATACATCATGTGTGTCATCTTAAACATCATATGCTAAGTATAAACCAATGTTAGTTGTTCTGTGTTCATAAGATCCAAGAAGCTATGTTGCTAGTTTCAGACTCCTCCTAACTTTACCTTTGTTTTCTGGTTTGTTGGTATCAGTTGAATTATTAATAAAGTTGGAGATTGAGAAACATCTGCTATTTCGAATATGATTTGATAAACTAAGTTGTTGTCTAGGGTCTTAATATTTTATATTGTCATTTTGTTAGTAACAATCTATTATTTATTATTCGATATAACCTATGCCTGTGTACAAAATATACACCATAGTTATAAAGAATCCAGTCTGAGAGTAATGGAGTTCATTGGACGAGTACTGAAATAAAGAACTTGAAAAGTAAAGAGCATAACTTTGAAATTCTGAAAAGGAGAAATACAAATTTGAAACTCACCACAGTGAGCAGTGCAAATTCTTATATGGATTGTTTCTTGCTTGCCAGCAGAAACAATATATTAGGAGATTATTCATGTGATAATATATTAGATTATTCATGTGACTCAAGTGAGAACTTTAGTCTATTTATCTAAGAATTTTCTACAGTCACCTGTAGCAAAGAACAACATGAATTAGATTTTAACAACAGAAATGGTATAAAAATAGAAAATTTAAGAAAAATTTCAAAGAAAGAAATCAACAAGACCAAACATATTTAAAATGAAGTTAGAAATAATTAAGGATGGTTAAAATTTTTATTATTATTATTTTTTAAGGGTCTACAGGGTGTTCAGAGTCTCACTAGTAGATCAGACTCCTAGTGATCTGCTTGTTTACAGCCTACTGAGAGCTGGAGTTACAGGAGTGCGCCACCATGCCCAGTCTCAGTTGCCTTCTCTGCGTGCCCCTGGGAAGGGGCCGGCACGGCAGGCAGGGGATTGATCTCCCAGCTGCTGTGCTTGCTTGCAGGCACTTTAATCTGCTGAGCTATTTGGCCGGCCCTCTACAAAATTTTTAAAGAAGGATCTGAAAAGTCTTTTTTCTTTCCTTTGGAAAGTCATACAGATTTTACTCCATGACTCTGTTATAGATTTAAAGGTTAAGTAGGTCTTGGATTTCTAAAATAATTGTAAATTAGATGCTTTTGATCACTCTAAGGTTGCGGTTGTAAGGCCCCAATATTAATAAAGTATTAAGTACTTGACATTTCAGCATATCATACAAAGCACCATCAATTAGATAATGATATTAAGTAGATAAAATGCATACAATTATCCAAATACTTCAGTCTTGCTCTCCTAAATTCTCATAGAAACCCTCTTAAATCTCATATTAAATTCACTCAAAATTGACAGTGGTTTCCATATGACTATAGATAGTAAGCATGGCTATTAGGATGACAAACTAATTTTGTGTATGTTGAGCAGTGTACTAATAAATTTGTTATAAAAATAATTTTATTATAAAATTTATTATAAAGAAAAAGCCCTTGTCTTACTTCTTCCATGCTTTTCAGTCTCTATTTTCCAGCTTCCTACCACATAAACAGTACTTTAGTTCATGTATAGGCATGTATAGATACAATCTTACACTCACTGCAAAAATGTACTTGTGGTGAGCTAGAGAAAAGTGTTTTGATAATCTGAATGGAAGGGAGATTTGACTTCACTACTGAAAATCAGCAAATTTATAAAGGTTATGGCGAAGAGGTACAAAAGCCATCAAAACAATTTGTAAAGGTTAGCATTTAATCCACAAAATAAGAAAAAGTGTTATCATTTTGCTTGAAGCCATTGCTTTTTTCTTCTCTATAGTGATTAAAGAGAGTAATGTCTTATCCAAGAGAGAAAAATATAAAAAGAGACTCTTTCAAATCTTAGTAAAGGCAAAATTTTCTACAGTAAGCTTCTTCTTCCATATAGTGTCATTTCTTATTGTAAGAAAAACCTATGAAGGTGTGTGTGAGAAAAATGTAATCATTTTCATTATAACTATTTAACATTATGTTTCAGTTCACTGTGCTTGTGATTTGCATATTTTTATTGCATTGTACCTAAATTTATATCTTTAATAAAAGTTCTACCTCATTTCATGTCATTTAATAAAAACTTACAAAATTTTCTGAGTTTAGCATAAAGGTATTTAGTTTCAAATAATAATGCATACGCATGTATATATGAATATGTATATATGTATATTTGAGGGATCATTAATTTCTGTAACATTTTCTGAAGGAATACATGCAAAGAGCTAGCACATTCTAATAGGTATTTGTATTTAGGAAACTTTGGCTCAATGCACACCAACTATGATTCACAGAGTTTGTGTACTAGTTTCCTGATTGACAGAGCTCTGAAAATGTCACCTGCTCTAAGTTGCTTCCTGAGGAATGTGGAAGCCATAATTGCATTTCTCAAGGCAAACAGTCCTTAAGGAAAGCTTTCCGCAGCACTTCACATCATTTGGCTTCCATTATTCACTTCCATTATTCTGGAAACGCAACAGACTGCCCATGCGCAGAAGTGGCAGTTTGGCCCGTTCTGTTCTGCATCTTGGTGCCATCAAAGCTGTGTAAGGCTTCTGCAGTTAACTCTCTATCACCATCACTTCACAGCAGCCACAATATTGTATTATTTTGATTGGAAAATGACGAGCACGCTCTGTTAGATTCAAATGCTGGATCATTAATGCAGTGCTCTTACAGTAGAGCAAAAACACTAGTAAAGAGTAAAAAATCTTGAAAAATCTACATATTCTTGATTTTACTTTCTCCTTTTAAAAAGTGGCAGATGTTTGACATATCGGATGGACAGTTAATATTTAATAACTAATATGTCAAAATTTGTAACCTAGCAGTGGTAGTGTAACATATTTGTCCACATAATGCAAAACATTATATATCTTCCATTATTGACAATATAAAAATTAAATTTTATTTCTTTTAATATTAAACTTGCTACAACAATTTTCCACTAGTGAATGTAAGGCTTTGTTTTCACACAATGAGCCTTGCCTTTTGCCTTCAGAATTTTGAGTGCCACATCAGTCAAAATGAATTATTTGTTGTAACTTTTCAATGTATGTTGAATTCTATGAATGTTATAATTAATTTTGTTCTTTCTACCAAGAATGATTCCTTTTTCCTTAAATTTGCATGTATTTATAGTTTGTTATTCAATATTTTCTGTAAACATAATATCATTAAAGCAGCTCATGCATCAAAGCTCCGTGTTTTCAAATAGTGAGTGATTATTTTATGTTGTTAATGAAGATTGATTAGTGAACTTGTTAATAAGCCTAAGGTAAGACAGAACAAATGAGAGACTATTGTGAAAAAGTAAAATATTATTTTGTGACACAATTGTTTCAGTTTATTTGAAACCTGTATGAAATAAATTTATAACTTTGGATTGAAGGAGAAAAATTTAAAAATACCATTGAAACAAATTTTTCATACCAAGTTTTTGTTATAACCTAAATACAATATTTATATCTAGTGTATGTCTGTTTAGATTACCCATTCTTTCAAGGAAGTTCTATCACGTATCTTTGGGTCTTCTCCCCTCTGAACTAACATAATGATTTATATAATATGAATGTATTCTCAGCCTTTTGGCTAAGTTTAAGCACGTATCTGTTCTTATTAGTTTGATATCTGAAACATCCTCTATCCAACAAATATCCATTAAATGGATTTTTGGTGCTGGGAGATAGAATAAGAGCTTCCTCTGTTCATTCCACACATCGCCTTGATGTTGCAGTACCTCCAGAAAGCATGCAGCCCCCTTGGGTGAAACAAAATAAGTAAATTTAATTTAATTTAAAACACTATAGAAAAAAATCAAAGTAAAGCTAAAGTTTTACACTTTCAATTTATTTGCTAACAAATAAAAAATTAATGTGATGTTTTTAAGTTTTCTAGATCTTTGGCATCTTTTTTTAATATTGAAAAACAAGGATTATTATCATTAAAAATAATCAATGGAGATTTTCAGGCATTGGCAATACATAGACATTTAAGTGACTAAGTTTTTTCCTGTTAAATTATTGAATTTCTGGAGAAAATCACATTTTCTTTCAACAAATATTTGTCATGTATTACTGAGTTCAAGATGTTGTTCTCCACATGAGGTAAGAACAGGGTACATAGTTAATCTTTAGAAGCTTGAAGACTACTGTGGAGATGGGCAGCTTAGCCATAGAAGGGTCACACGAAAGATGGAGCAGTGTCACAGAGCATTATGGAAACGACCCACTGCACAGAGCGGGGACACCAAGGGCTGCTCTGAAGAACAGGCAGTGATGACCTCAGCTTGCTGTTTTTGACACTTGTATTTTTAGTTTTAGTTTAGTCACTTATGCATGGTTGCGGTGCATAGTGTTGTGGGTGAGTGGAAGGTATGCGCATGTGTCATCTCACTTTCTGTTTTCATCCCTATTTCCTCCCTGCTGTTCCTCCTGCCCCTATCTCTTGATCCCCTTTCTTTTCTTTTGTGGTACCTACTTGTAGTACACATGTTTACCTTACTGTGTGGACTTGGCACATATACGGAGCACACCACCACTCCTTGTTCACCCCTTATCTCTCCCTCTACCTCCATCTCCTCTTTCTTGATTTCTTTGAAAACTGTCTCCCTGCTTCCTATCACACATCTTTATTGTGCTGTTTATTTTTACCCTGGGTTTTTCAGGTAAGAAATTATTAATCAAGAGACATTCAATTAAAGCATCAGAGTATGACCCTAGAATCACATTCTGGCCAATTTACCAACCACCCTTGCAGAGCCTGTGTTTTATCCAAACAAAAATTTTACTGTATTTTCCCAAGCATGATTTCTAAACTCTGGTGTCTGTAACTTTTTCTTGATATTCTTTGGTTGAATTTAACCACTTCTTCCAAGAACTGTTCAAATACATATATTTATGTTTTAAATACAAAATACTGTTTAAAAAGTATTAAAAATGATATAAAATTTCACTAAACAAGACAATAGGGATTCAACAATAGTTGAATTACATGATGTTACCTTCAAATTATTTTTTTTAGGTTATCAGATACAAACATTAAAAATTGATTTAAAAAACAAAACAAAACAGCCACAAAAGTTATAATAAGTCAAAAATAAAAAAATGAACATTTTCTTTCAAAAGACCAACAGAAATCGGCAGTAGAATTATCCAAATTGTCCTCTCTATGTACACACATGAATTTTCCCTTCTTTCTGTTGTTCTTTTTATTAACCCAGTTTTTCCTTCTCGTTGAACAAATTATTTCCTTTTCCCAGTTGCTGTTGCACCTTTCTGATTTTACTTACACTTTCAGGTTCTTACACTAGTGAAACAATATGATGTTTACACATGTGGGTCTGCATTATTTCCCTTACCAGCATAGTCTCTAGTTGCATCCATTTATCTACACAAGCCTCAAGTTTATCTTTTTTATAGCTGAGTAATACTCCATTGTATAAAAGTATCGTATCTTTTTTTATCTATTGCTCAGTTTATTATATCTATTTCTGCAGAATCCTAGTTTAGTTAGATAGGATATAATTTCTCTCCATTATGTTCCTTAAAAATATGCATTTTGCATTCCTCTATGAAAACTGTTTCTTTATACTTGTATTTTTACTATGTGTGTGTGTGTTTATAACCTACAACTAAAATTCTAAGTTTACTACTTTCTTGTCTTATACTCAAAACATGTTTAATAGATATTCTCTAAAGATTTTTCTACAATGTCACTAAGGGAAATTGCCTGGTGCATATTGTGATTTACAAACTCTAAAATGTATTTTAAACATTTTTTTCTCAAAGATTATTTAAATTCATATTTATGTTTAAAAGAATAACTCAACCTTTACACAATAGTGTTGCAATCTTACAATCTTAACTTTTTCCTTAAAGATCAATTGGCAGATCATTGTAGTCCTCATGTACTCCCCTCCCCCACCTTTTTAATATATTTGGTACAGTGTTTCACTAGGCATCTCTGACTAGTAGTGATCCTCCTGTTTTCAGCCTCCCCATTACTGAGATTACAGGTGTGCATCACCATGCCCAGTCTCCATGGCCAGCTCAGTGTGCCCATGGGTGGGGCCAGTGGGTGCTGGGGTTCAAACCCTGGTCCCTGTGATTGTTTAAGCAGGTGCTTAGTCTGCTGAGCTCTCTTGTCCTCCTCCTTCATGTACCTATTTGTTACTTTGCTTCAGGCAAATATATTAAGGGATAGTATTTTCTTCTTAAGTATTTCTTTTTCCTGTGAAGTAGGGCTTATAAAACATTGGTTTATTAAATATTTGTTATGAATTGCTACTTCTGTAATAAGTACATCATTAACTTGTTAAGTAAGTCATTCTTCTGTTGTAGTTCCAGATTTATATGAATTGGACAATGCTATTTTTACAGTTGAATGCAAAATGAATTCAAGTCTACCAATATAATAATTGCCATAAGGAATTTATATTTTGCCTCTATGTATCAAATGCATTTTAGTTCACCTCAGTGTAAAATTTTAATAAGATTGGGAAAATATGAGAAAATATGTACAAAAGCAGTTTATAAGCATGTGATAGACCACATTAACAATTCTCAGAAAATTGAGATAAATTCAATTATACGACTGGAAATATGTATTTTAAGGTCATGGTCACTCTGTTCCTTATGGATTAGGGCATTATCTTAGCTATGTATGTTTTAGCACCCGTCTTAAATCTTTATCGTTTTCACTGACTATAACTTTTGAGATTGAGTTTTTAAAGCAAGAGTACATTATGTTACACTAAATAAAGTAGTAAAATGCAGTAATAACTGTGAGAATTTAGCTAGAGTTCTACGTAAGCAAAAATTTAAAAAGGTGAAAGAATCCCTATCACTGGGTATGAAGAACCTTGAAGATTTAGCTATATATATATATTGGAAGAGCTAGGTGGAGGAGTAGGATTTATTATTCTATTAAAGATATAATATTTTATTTATAGGACTTGGGTTCTAGGGCATTCTAATTTTTTTTTCTCATTAAACTTTGTATTAGTGGATCTCAAAATTCTGTGACAGATTTTTGGTCAAGTTGTTTCCATTAAAAAGTATTGATTGTAAAAACTAATAAAAACTGCCATGCACACAAGAAAAATGGTCCACAAAGCAATCTCCTTTCCCTCTGAAGGTTTTCTGGTTCATTGTTATCATTAACCAGTCTTTCACTATTAAACTTAAGGGGCCAATTGAAAGAAACAGTGCTGAGAACAGTCTTCCACCACTGATTAAGATTTAGGTGACAGGAAGACCCAATACTATTAGGGGCTACTGGACTCTTTTAGAATATTTTGCTGAGTTTACACACCTATAATACTCAAATAATGGAACTTAACCAAAAAAGGGCATACAGATAAATGTCCATTTTGTATCTGTGTATTCAAAGTGGTTAGGATAGATATATAGTTACATTCTCTTAATGAATAGAGTGATTTGTTCTAATGGTGTTAGGAT